AGTCACCCCTGTCACATCAGCGGACAATGCCTTTTCTTTAACACACAGAGATGTGTGCAAGAACATAAAACATTCATCATTACTTTGTCTACTTCTTGCTCTTGAACGTGAGCACCAAAAAAGGTCGCTTTAGTTGCCTTGCAGAGCAGTTGTTTATGATGTCGCCATCTTTCATTCGCTCATGATCGTTTATTATCAATGGGCTGAACGCTTATAGTTATCGAAACAATTTACCTACCTGTAGGTATGAATGACTGCAATTCAATCAATATAAGACAGTTGCGAAACTGTGAGTCAATGCAAATACCAGTTACAGAACGGACCTTTGGATTTACAAAGTTTGTTCAGTTAGTTCAGTCATCGATTTTTTCTTTTTGTGAGAAATTTAATTCATTCTGTAATCAAAAAAGGCCCCACGATGTTTATCTTTCTGATAATGGCTGATTTATCGGCATAAATTTATCTTTTTTCAAACATATTCTGTAAGTGTAGTTTTTCTCCTTATTTCACTACCTTAGGGTAATAAGCGAATCTCAATACTCTATGCAAAATGATTTCAATATGCGTAAATATAATTTCGCACTCTACGATGACTAATTCTCGCAAGTTTGTCAAAGCGGAGCAAATAATGATAGCAAATATTTTTCTGTAAATATGAATGTACATAGTAAGTTAGTCTCAGCTTAAACTCTATGCTTAATCTAAGATTTTCTTTCGTTGCATCTGATGATTTCATCTGGCTTATGGCTGATCTCTAGCGAATACTTATCGTATTTGCTTATATCGTGTTGTTCCAGGCTTTGTCTCTTCTTTTTACCAAATTTTAATTGCACTAGCATGCATTGGTGGACTTCAGGGGGCATCATGGGTGCCAGCAACGAAACTGGTGGCAAAGGTCGGCGATTATGAACAACCCATTTTGATTGTGTATGTTAGTTTTATATCGTTTTTATTCTTAGTGGTATACCGACGGCACATATGGGAAAATGTTCTCAATTCTTGGCTGCGGAAGCACAGTTGCTGGTCTTTTCATACCATTATTAGTTGGAGCATATTGGCGTAGCTTATTGATATGTTTTGGCGAGTTCAGCAGTTCTAATCTTCTCTTTTCCTCCAATGATTCTATGAAATCCTACTTTCGTTAATTGCACCTTTAGGTGTTATAATGTTGGTATACTCCGCGTTTGTATTCTTTTGGCTACAAAACGACGACGTGAAACCTTCTTCACCTTCGACTAAAGAAGACGCAGCAAATCTCACATCTTTGATCTGGTCTCCAGTTATTTGGAGTGTAGGAATGATCTATCTCTTTTCTATGGAGGTGTGCATCCTTATGTTTTATTTTCATTTTTAAGCATTTACTCTATTTTTTTTTCGGATGGAATGAGATCCTTAACTAATATCATTATTTGAGGTGAGGACCGTTTGCGAAACTTGGATTCCCTTGCACATTAATGAAAACGGCATGAGTCCGGCTACATTTCAAGTACTGTACGAGATTGGAGGGTGAGCTATTTTCGTGTCTATTTGGCAACAAAGTTTTTTCTGGCTCATACCATGTTGTTTTCGAAAGCTTCTGGAGCGATATACAGCAATTTTTGACAAGTGTTTTGAAATTATCTTGC